GACTGTGATTCAGCTTTAGATAGGATGTTATAAATGACAATATAATATTGGCTTTCACATTCATGTATTAGCTTTTGCATGTTGTTAATAATCACAAGTATTTTTTATATGATACAATTTTTTAAACTACTTTTGGTATAGTATAATCTTTTAGTTTATGTATGTACCATATAGTTTATATAAATAGTAGAATGATAAAAATATTATATTGTAGACTTCAGCAAAATGTTAAAATAGAGACTATGTAATGCTAAAATGCTTTTATGTAACTAACTCAGAGAATGGTGTAAAACAATTATGCTGTTTCTCACATCTGAGGACCGGCCCCTCCAAGAGATAACAGTGACAGAAACCAGAAGACAAGAGGGGAGTTTTATTAACTCCTTCTCATCTGGGAGTGTGAAACAATAGGATGCAACCTCAGGAAGAAACAAAATATATTGACCTAATCTACAGAATGTTATGCAGACAAGTCAGAGGTTGAAAAAAAAAAAAAAAAAGAGTTCCTGGAAGTTCAAAAACTCAAAGGAATGTTTGAATAACGTATGTCCTAGGGTGACGTTATAATGCTTGTATCCCCATTCGTCTGTTCTGTTTATGCTGGATATTAGGTTCTGTGCCTTCAAGACTGGCTCTGAAGAGTGTATGTTTTGTTTTGGTTTTGTTATCAGCCTGCTCCCCCATGGCTGGCGGGACACAGAGCTGGGGCAGTACATAGGGTGGCTTTTGCTTTTTGCTTTGGTCTTTGCTTTGCTCTTGCTCTTGCTTCTGCTTTGCTCCTGCTTTGTTCCTGCTTTGTTCTTGCTTTTTGCTTCTGCTCCTTAGTTAGTTTAGCTAAGCAGTCCGAATTTTTCTCTGGACTGTTTTTCCTGTCCCTTTTTTGGAACTACTCGAACCTGCTCCAGACTGGGACCTGGGAAACACCAAGAGTTTGCACCTTGTGGCCTGCAGCAGCTATCCCCAGCACCGGAGGGACTAATAACAGAGTGATCACTCCCATGAGAGACTTTCTGATTTTGTCATCTTTTTCAGAGCGGTGAAAGAGAGTTGTCATCCAGTATTGTTCATTTTGTGTGCTGGGGGTGTTTTGCCTGTTAAATAAACAGGTTTTTTCCCCTTCTCTCCGAGGAATCCTTCCCAAACCAGTAGGGGGGAGGGGCCGTGTGGGTTTGCTTTCTGGAGGGGGGCCCCCCCCTTTTGGAGGTTTTCTCCCACATTTGTCCTAAACCAGGACAAAATTTTGGACCCAACATGAGGCTTGAGAGACAGTGGATAAAACCCTGTTTTCAATGCATTTTGGTTACCATTACTCTCTGTTGGTATAAAGCAGTTAATAGCCATGTTTTTTGAATTCATAATGTCTCTTGGGGTGAAGGCTTGCATGCATTTCTGGTCCCTAGGGTTTTTTGAGATCTTAATACCTCTGTGGTCCCTAGGTTTATTTTCTTATCCAGAAATAGCTCTAGTATTGTCCCTAATACGTAGTTTTTACTGCTGAGGGGCAAGGACCAGAATACGTATCCTGCTGGGCTTGGTGGTAATGATTTGTAAGAAGTTTATAAACATGCTGAGTCTGTTCCAGGTATGAATGGTTCATGGCTATGGTTATGCACCCAGTTTGTTAGAGGAAGAGCAGGGGATAAGGCTTTTCAGCCTTTGCTTTCCTTCTTCTCCTCTGAATCTGTTACATCACAATTGGAGAATGTTCAGTTTCCCCTGAATGTTAAAGAAACCATCTTTTTGGTATTTAACATGGTAAGATTCCTCTATACAGTCTTCAGCATCTCTAGAATGAGGGCTGAGATTTCTAGATGGGCTGATGAGACCCCTGACCCAGGAGTAGACCCAAGCATGGAACATCCTGAGTGGTGTGGGAAATGGGACCATATGGGCAAAATCCTGAAGGAATTCTCTGACCCTATAGTCTGGGACTTTCCCCATGGGCAAATTCAGAACTCAGCTAAAGTGGGGAAATACCTGAAAGAGAAGTACCATGATAACCCTAAGGAGAAAAGGATCATTGCAGTGAGCTGGGCCCTGACATATGCTTATCGCACACTGCTAAATACTGTAGGGCAGCAGACAGAGGAAGGGGGGCAGGGAGATAAATCAGCAGCTATCCCAGTCACTCAGGCTGTAGCAAACACCCCAGGCTCGAAGCCAGCAGTTAAACCATATAGTAAGCCTAAGCCAGCAGCTAAACCAGACAATAAGCCTCAACCAATGCCTGTTTCTACTAGCTCTCAAAGCGGAAAGTGCACAGACAAGACTGATCGACCAGTGGATGATGATGATGATGATGCAGGAGAAGGACCCTCAGTGCTTCCTGACATAAAATCAGGAGTCAAAGCAACAGGCACAAGATCAGAAGCCAATACTGAGTCCTTTTCCCTGAAGGACCTTCATGGCCTAAGGAAGGATTACACCCGACAATCTGATGAATCCATAATTAGCTGGTTAGTCCGTCTTTGGGATGCTGCAGGCAAGGCTACAATTCTGGATGGCCCTGAAGCGAGGCATTTGGGATCCCTGTCACATGATCCTGTCATTGACCAAGGAATGATGAGGGGGGCTGAACCTCAGAGCCTCTGGGCACAAGTCTACGAAAGTGTGGCACAAAGATACCTGTGTGCAGATGATCTCTATATGCAGCAAACCCAGTGGAAGACCATAGAACAAGGGATCCAATGCCGGAGAGAAATGGCAGTGACAGAGATTATCTTCTCAGATGACATAACAACTAGGAATCCAGACTTGGTACCATGTACATCTGTGATGTGGCGAAAACTTGTATGACTTGGGCCATACAAATATGCTTCTGCTTTAGCCATAATGAAGCAGGATGATGGGGATGAGACTGTGCTTGCTATGGCAGAGAAGCGCCAAGCATATGCAGATGCTGTACATGGCCCAACACATGCCAGAATCACAGCGGTGGAAACACGTCTGCAGAGATTAGAGGATAAGATAGAGGAGAACCATAAGAAGCTCAGAGAGGAGATTAAAGAAGACCTTCTCCAAATCTCGGCAGTACAGATCAGAGGTTCTGGTACCCAATGCAGACGTTCCCCAGATGGAGAGAGAAGGTACACCCCACAAGCTGAGCTGTGGTTCTTCCTGTGTGATTGCAAAGAAAACATGAAGAGATGGGATGGAAAATCTACTTCTGCTCTGGCACCATGGGTACTTGAATTGGGAGACAGCAAGACTCAGAGAGGAAGAAGCAGCTCCAGGGGCGCATAACTGAACTGCCATATATGATGATGATGATGATGATATATTCGATCCCCTTGAAAAAACCTCCAAGATATATGCCCAAGGAAGGAAGGATAACCAGGTTTAGAGAGGCCCTGTCTCTAGCCAGGTAGAGGCTAGGGAAAAACGTGTTTTCTGGACGGTGTGTATTTGTTGGCCTGGCACATCTAAGTGACAAGAATATAAAGCTTTAGTCGATACTGGTGCGCAGTGCACATTAATCCCATCAAGACATGTGGGGACAGAATCCATTTCTATTGCTGGTGTGACAGGGGGATCACAGGATTTCACTTTGGTGGAAGCTGATGTGAGCCCGACTGGAAATGAGTGGAAGAAACACATCCACAGTGCATCGTCGACAGTATAGAACCACTCGAGATGCTGTGATTCCCATCCATAAGATGATCCGAGAGCTGGACAGCCAAGGGGTGGTCAGCAAGACCCACTGACCCTTCAAGAGCCCCATCTGGCCTGTGCGTAAATCTGAAGGAGAATGGAGATTGATGGTGGACTACCGTGCATTGAATGAAGTGACTCCACCACTGAGCGCTGCCATGCTTATTAGAGCATATTAGAGCTCCAGTATGAGCTGGAGTCCAAGGCAGCAAAGTGGTATGCCACTATTGATATTGCCAATGCATTTTTCTCCATTCCTCTGGCAGCAGAATGCAATCCTCAATTTGCTTTCACGTGGAGGGGAGTGCAGAATATCTGGAACCAACTGCCCCAGGGGTGGAAGCACAGTCCTACCATCTGCCATGGACTGATCCAGAGTACACTAGAAAAGGGTGAGGCTCCAGAACACCTACAGTATATTGATGACATCATTGTGTGAGGGAACAGAGTTGCAGAAGTGTTTGAGAAAGGAGAGACAATCATCCAAATCCTCCTGGGAGCTGGTTTCGCCATTAAGAAGAGCAAGGTAAAGGGACCAGCTAGGAGTAAAGTGGCAAGATGGATGGCGTCAGATTCCTACGGATGTCATCAACAAGATAACAGCTATGTCTCCACCAACCAATAAGGAGACACAAGCTTTCCTAGGTGCCATAGGCTTTTGGAGAATGCATATTCCTGAGTACAGTCAGGTTGTGAGCCCTCTATACCTGGTCACCCGTAAGAAGAACAATTTCCACTGGGGCCCTTAGCAGCAACAAGCCTTTGCCCAGATTAAGCAGGAGATGGCTCATGCAGTAGCCCTTATCCCGGTCAGGACAGGACCAGAGGTGAGGAACATGCTCTACGCTGCAGCTGGGAACCATGGTTTGTCCTGGAGTCTTTGGCAGGTGCCTGGGGAAACTCGGGGTCATCCACTGGGATTTTGGAGTCGGAGCTACAGAGGGTCTGAATCTAACTACACTCCAACAGAGAAAGAAATCTTGGCTGCCTATGAAGGAGTCCAAGCCACCTCAGAGGTGATTGGTACAGAAGCACAACTCCTCCTGGCACCCCAACTACTGGTGCTGGGGTGGATGTTCAAAGGCAAGGTTCCTTCCACCCACCATGCCACCAGTGCTACATGGAGTAAGTGGACTGCTCTCATCACACAGCACGTCCGTATAGGTAAACTGAATCGCCCTGGGATTCTGGAGGTAATTACAAATTGGCCCGAAGGTGAAAATGTTGGTGTCACAGATGAAGAAGAGGAACCAGTGACACGGGTTGAAGAAGCTCCTCCATATAACCAACTGCCAACAGAGGAAACATGCTATGCTCTTTTTACTGACGGTTCCTGTCGAATTGTATAAATGAATCAGAATTGGAAAGCAACCATATGGAACCCCACACAACAGGTTGCAGAGGCCACTGAAGGAGAAGGTGGATCAAGCCAACTTGCTGAATTCAAAGCCGTTCAACTGGCCCTGGACATTGTAGAAAGAGAGAAGTGGCCAAAGCTCTACTACTACAATGATTCATGGATGGTAGCCAATGCTCTGTGGGGATGGCTGGAGAGGTGGAAAGAGGCTAACTGGCAGTGTAGAGGAAAACCAATTTTGGCTGCTGAAGAGTGGAAAGACATTGCTATTAGGGTAGGGAGGCTACCTGTGAAGGTCGGCCATGTAAATGCCCATGTCCCCAAGAGTAGAGCTAATGAGGAGCACAAAAACAATGAGCAGGTAGACCAAGCTGCAAAGATAGGGGTGTCCAAAATAGGCCTAGATTGGGAGCACAAGGCAGTTATTCCTAGCTCGATGAGCCCATGATGCCTCAGGCCATCAGGGTAGAGATGCCACCTATAATTAGGCATGAGACCGAGGGGTGGATTTAACCATGGACAGTATTTCTCAGGTTACCGACAACTGTGAGACGTGTGCTGCCATCAAACAGGCCAAGAGGGTGAAGCCCCTGTGATATGGTGGGTGGTGGTCCAAGTACAAGTGTGGGGAGGCCTGGCAGATTGACTACATCACACTGCCCCAGACATGCCAAGGCATGCACTACATTCTCACAATGGTAGAAGCCACCATGGGATGATTGGAAACCTACCCTGTGTCTCATGCTACTGCCCGTAACACCATCCTGGGCCTTGAAAAGCAGGTCCTCTGGAGGCATGGTACCCCTGAGTCAGACAATGGGACTCATTTCAAGAACAGCCTTATCGACACCTGGGCTAGGGAACATGGCATTGAGTGGGTGTACCATATCCCCTACCATGCACCAGCTGCAGGCTAAGTGGAGAGGTACAAGGGACTCCTAAAAACCCAGTTGGAAGCTTTGGGTGGGAGATCTTTCAAAAATTGGGAGCAGCATTTAGCAAAGGCCACCTGGTTAGTTAACACCCAAGGTTCCACCAACCAAGCAGGTCCTGCCCAGTCTGAGTCCCTGAATATAAGAGATGGAGATAAAGTCCCACTGGTACATGTCAGTGTGGATCAATTCTGCCTTGAGTACAGACAAACCCATTTGTGGGGTTGTCTTTGCTCAGGGATGAGGTTGTACATGGTGGATAATGCAAAGAGATGGAACAACACGATGTGTACCTCAGGGAAATCTGATTGTGGGGTGAGACTCATATGCAAATATCACTGTTTGCTGGATGTTACTGCCATTGTCTGTACATTAAACCATACAGACATGAGATAGAAGGAAATGTGTAAATGTCGAAGGTCTGAGCAAGTGAAAGATGGAGTTGTGAGTGAGTAAAATGGAAGTGGGAAATCCTGCAGCTCTGTAGTATGGGACCTGGATTCAGTGGTCCGGTGTGGGTATGCGATGAGGGCATGGTGGGTATTGCCTGTAATTTTTGGGAGGAACAGATGGAAGTTTTACGTGAATAAATTAGCATGATATGTGGAAGTATGTTGACGATATGGGGATAAGGGGTGGAATGTGCTAGGGTGACATTATGATGCTTGTATCCCCAATCATCTGTTCTGTTTATGCTGGATATTGTGTAGTGTGCCTTCAAGACTGGCTCTGAAGAGTGAATGTTTTGTTTTGGTATTGGAGTTTACCAATATTACTGAGCAGGCCTGCCTTGGTCTGTCTGGCCTCAGCTGCCAAAACAAATAGAGGCACCTGTGGTCCTTTCTCCCCAGAGGTGCTATTCAGTACCTGTGATCACAGCTGGGCACTTGGAGACAACTCCGGGCATGCCCCGAGCTCCCGTGCTTAGGGGCTGGAACTTGCTGTTGAAGGGGGTCACTCCTCAGGCCTTCCCGAGCTGGAGAAACGTTTAAGGTGAGGGAAACTGAGGCACACCATGACAACACACCACAACATCTCCCCTTTGTTTTTTTTTAAATGAAGAGGACTG